AGGCAGACTATTTTGAGACTCGTGACATCCCGAGAATGGTTTCTGAATCTCTAGCCCTCAGGAGACTGAGGCAGGAGGATCGCCATGAATTGGAGGTCAGCCTGGGTTTCCTAGCTTAAGGCCACTTCAGTTGCATAGCAAGACATAGGAGCTTTCTTTACTCCATTTGCTCTGGAGAGAGGGTCAGTGCCTCCCTCTTCTCCAACATGTCTTCTCTGCCCGAGGCAGCCTCAATCACAGACCCAGCCGCCCCACGCTACCTGATGTGGAGGAGAGGCTGGGGCACCTCAGAGAGGCTGCTGCATTACACTTTTAAAAAAATTTTTATTTATTTGGTACAGGGTCTTACTACACAGCTCAGACTTTTAGTGATCCTCCTGTCTCAGCCTCTGCCTCCCCAGTGCTAGGATTATAGATGTGCATCGTCATGCCTGGTTTCGGTAGTGGGCATGGTGTAACCAAGGTTCTGGGGCCGGCAGGCATGTGGTACCAGGGATTGAACCCGGTTCCTTGGGCTTGCCACGCAGACACTTAGGCTGCCGAGCTATCTCCCTAGGCCCGGCGTTACGCTTTTTTTAATTTTAGCAGATTGATAATAGTGCTTTATTTAAATTGTCTATGCAAGGGCTGGTGAGATGGCTCAATGGTCTAAAGCACCTACTTGGAACAAGCTTAGCAAAGCACAGGGATCGTGGTTCAATCCCCCAGTACCACATGCCAGCCAGCCCCGCCCCCTGGTGGGCTGAGCTGGCCACACACATAAATAAATAAATAGTCTATACAAGGGACGGGGGAAATGGCTCAGTGGAATAAGCGCTTCCCTGGCAAGCGCAAGGGCCTGAGTTCAATTCCTGGTTCCACTAAATAAATAAATAAATAAATAAATAAATAAATAAATGTCTATATGAAGGAAAATAGTGTACACCCCTATCATATATGTGTAGAAATACTAAGGATTTACATTGTACAAATATTAGTTATTTCACATCCTTGGGAAATAAGGACAGAAAGAAACAGTTTTAGTATGACCAATAGTAACAGTAACACAGTTTCTTGGGTTCATAGTTGCGTGTCTGCTTAAAATCCTGACCCAGATGACCAAATCTTTTGGGGATGTAGAGAACTAGCAAGGTCAAGAAATGTCACAAACCATAAAGCTACAAGGAGGCAATTCAGTTACTAATTTATAGGTTTTCTTTTTATTTAAGAAAATACTTCACATTTCTTGCTTGCCTGTAATGCACACTATCACGAGCAAGATAAGGAAGGTCTACTGTAGACAGTACAAATGGTAGCTACCTGCATTTGCTTTTTTTTTTTTGATTTTTTGACATAGGATTTCCTTAAGAAATACAATGTGATGACTTCTGATCTACTAAATCAACATTTTTCTTTCATTATTATAATCAAAGACCCCCAGAGAAGCAGTGTAAGGCACCTTAGGAGACTTACATACACACTGCCAGCCATCCAGGTCTCCTGTTTGCAGGAATCCCTGGAAACGATGGTTCAGTCAGAGCTGCCTGCTAGCGAAACGCAGGAGTCATGGATGTGTCGTGTGTCAGTCTGGTTACTAGAACTGACGAATGGGGTTTCTGTATCTATTTATGCATGTGTATTTTCTCTTTGCAGTGCTGGGGGACAAACCCAGAGCCTCGCATATGCTAGGCAAGCTTTCTACCGCAGATCTGCACCCCTCACCCAGTAATACTTATTTTTAAGCACCTTAGGCAATACATTGTTAGATGAAAGCTTGTATGTTCAGCTTTGAGGAGGAGACAGAGGAATAAGAAAGCCTCTTTTTTTCCTTTCTGCTGAACCTTTTATAAAAAGAAACTCAGCTGGGAAGAGGCAGTCAGGGCAGAAGGCCACGGTGGGTAGGCTGTATGTTTGGGTAAATTTTTCCTTGGATCAAAAGGGGACCAGTACCCAAAAGAGCTTTAGGATCTTTGTTTGAGTCCTCCAGGATTCAACCCAGTTTTCTACACTACCTCAAATCATTAGAACGGAGAGATATTTCTGCTCTCATATAGAAAAGAAAAAAAAAAAACAACTAAAAATAACCCTTAATAACTCCTGTACATTTATAAGCAGGGCTCAACTCCAGTATGTCATCATATGCAGGCTACATGGGTTAGCCGCCTGTCAGAAAGCAGTTGAGACACTGACGCCTGTCTCTAGGTCACAGGCTGCGTGTTGTTTCCATGGTGCCGTTGCTTGTTGCTGTAGCGCTTGGCTTGGTGGTCTTGTCCGATGGACCTTGAGAGCAGGCAGGAGGCGGGTGCGTCCCAGGTCCCGTTCGTTCGTGGAGGCAGTTGTCTAGAGATTCCTACCAAGGCAGTCAGGCTGCCGCTGCGAGGCCAGGAGGAGTTCCGGGTTAGGGTTCTCTGCTCACGGTGTGCCCTCATTTCTACGAAGGTCCCTCGAGAATTCTGGTGAAGTTTAGACCTTCAGTGCCCCTTGAAGTCCCACTGGGAGGTCTGGGGCCTGTGGAAGGCTGTCCAGTCACTAGGGGACCCTCCGCGGGAGCGCGAGTCCTGTCTTGCTCTTCTGCACTTCCCGCGGAGGTCAGGGCGTCGCGCTGGCTCCCGCACTGTCCCTGCCATGCTGGGCCCAAGCAGCGGGGCCCTGTGGTGGTGGATGGAAGCCCCTCAGGCTGAGCCTGAAGAAAGCTTTTCTCTTTATAAATTGAATTCTTTCAGATCTTAGAGTAACGGGAAAGCTGACTAACACAAACTCCATTTTTTTTTTTTTTTTTTTTTTTTTTTTGCCTGTAAAGTGAGAATAATCTGGTTTGAGTCAGTAGGAGTGTATTGAGGTTCGCATGACACATGAAGGTATTTCGAAAATGCGGTGCCTTCTTAGATTTATGATATTAAAGAGTAGGTTGCTCTTTGAAAAAGCGAAATTCAGTTCATATTATAGCATGCTATAGGCTGCTTTTTAATGTTATCAAGAAAAAAAATACACATAGGTAGTTTTTAAAAAGACGTAGCATGGAAAGGTTTGTGAGGAAAATCTGTTCCTCTAACTGGCCCCTGCTGCCTGCTTGCCCTCTGCAGAGAAAGCGACTTTCTGCACTTTGAGTTGTTTCCTGGGTAACTTGTCTGCACATTTGTATGGAAAAACAACATATGTCATTCTGGGCATTATTCACTGACTTCCAACCTGGATTGCACCCTGCAGATTCCAGCTTCTGCATGGCCTTTCCTCCTGTTCTGCACCACTATATGTAATTAATTAATTAATTAATTTTTAAGAGAGGGAGGATATGCTGTGTTACTCAAGCTGTCCTTCTCAAATCCAAGATTCATAGGCTCAAGCGATCCTCATGTCTTGGTCCCCTTCCTAGCTGGGACTCCAGGTGTCTGCCACCACGCCTGGCTTCAGTGTCTTTTTGTTGTTGTTAACAGATGATTCATGCACATCTTTGTGGAGTAGGACATGCTGTTTCAGTACATTGTGTCAGTATCAACTGGGGATATTTAGATGGCCTGTTTTCCACCCGTTCATGATTTCTTATGAGAACATTCAAAATCCTCTCTAGCTATTTGGAATTACATGCTGCGGTCTTGTCAGCTGTATCCACCCTTCTGCTTTCATTGTTCACATTGGTGCGGCTCTGTTAGTATTTCCATTGGTGAGCCGGATGATGCATACGATGGCCGGCTTCTGTCTTAGTTATTTTTTCCCTTCTGATGTTAGTAACACCTCCTTTTTCAACTACTTGGCTTTTGGGGTATTTGTGACCGTTATCTGCCCACCACCTGTGACTTCCCCATGCACCCAGGTAGTCTTCAGCAGTGGGTAGAGGTCTGTGCTAATGGTCCTCAACTTCTGTCCTGGGGTCCACACTATCATCCTGGGCCCCTTTTCCTCTCCCATATTGGCCTGTGATTTCTCACTTGCACATTTTCTTATTTGGGGGGAGCACTTGTTAAGCTCAGCTCTGTAGGAAAGAGTTCCTGGAAAGTAAGTGCTTTAGAACTTGCTGGGCTACAGTGTCTTGATTGGTAGTTGGGTGTACAATTTGCTCTCAGAATTTGAAACCTGTGGCTGTCCCATTTGTATTTCTGTGGAGGAAATTCACTGTCATTCTTACTCTTAATCTGTTTACATGGCCTTTGTTTGCTCCCAGAAACTTGGAGGGTCCTCTCTCTGGCACCATTGTTCTGAAATTTCACCATGATGTGTAGTGCCTAAGGAACCTAGTGCCTAGTGAGCCCTTCACTCTAGAATCTGTTTTCTTTGGTTCTTCGAAATTCATCTATTTCTTTAAAAGATTTCTTCCACCATCTTTTTATTCTGAAATGACTATTAGTTACATTAGTTCTGCTTTGCATCTCACAGGTCAATCTTCTGTACATTTGTCTTCTTTCTTGTGCTATCTCTTTTCTCTTTTGTTCTATGTGTTGTTCAGGATTGAATTCAGGGCCTTGTGCATGTCAGGCTGGTACTGTATCACTGAGCTGCTTCTCCATTACTATAAAATAATTTCATGTGTGTCTCAAAGACTGGTAGTAATAGGTGAAAGGTCATGATATATAAAGTTTATTTTATTATTATTATTAGTAGTAGTAATAGTATTTTTAGTGTAGGGTGTACAGGGTCTCACTACATAGATTGGACTCATAGTGATCCTCCTGATTTCAGCCTCCCAAGAGCTGGAATTACAGGCAAGCACCACCATCCCAGTCTCAGTCACTGTCTCAGCGTGTCCTGGGGGCAGGTCCAGCATGGCACACCAGCAATCAAACCCTGGTCCCTGTGCCTGCCTAAACAGGTGCTTTAGTCCACTGAGCTATCTGGTCGGCCCATGATATATAAAATTTAAAAGGCTAGAACATATGAATACTTTATAATCTTAGTCATGCATAAATTAGGACAATAAGTAAAAAATAGCAGTGTTAACAGTGGTTATAATTATTGCATATTGATGTGATCACTGTTATCTTTATATTTTTATGTATTTTCCAAAGGTTTTTTTTTTTTCAGTAAGAACTAGGTTTATTGGAATGTTTTTAGTTGTAGTCAAAGGCAGAAACATTTAACTTTTGCTGCACCCATAAACGTGTGGAAGCTGCTTACAAAGCAGTCGTATTACAGAAAGAATGACGTCCTTGCAGCACTGGTGGAATGCTTCTGGGTCTTCTTTAGAATGATAATTTGGTTTTGCCGTGCCGGCCCTGCCCCCAGGGTGCGCTGAGCCAGCCATTGAGACTGGGTGTGGTGGCGTAGCCTGAAATCCCAGCACTTGGGAGGCTGTAAACAGGAGGATCACTACGAGTCCGATGTACGCAGTGACCCTGTAGATTCTGTAGACCCTGTCCTAAATCCAAAAAAAAAGAATAATGGTTTGGCTGTCTACGTGGGCTTTTGGACTCCTGGCCTGACACCCCGTCTTGATGCAATGATGCAAGAACTTATACCGTTAAAATATTAGTATGAAACATTGTCAATCAGTGTTGGACTATATACACAAATAATGATTTGGCAAATATCTAGTTTCAAATTAGATCCTTGGAATACAGCGAAATAGTTTTCTTTGCTTTATACAGTTATTCAAAGTACATTTTATTGGAAGGAAAGAAAATAATCTGACATTCTCAGTGCTCCAGTTTGAAGTGATACTTTCCTCTTAGTTTCTTGAAAAAGAACTTTTGAAAGTTATATACATAGGTTTCATTTAAATTATTTAGCAATCTGTTATGGATAATAATGTCCCAGGTCTTGTGTAATGAGGAGCTCCACCATCAGATCAAGTACAGTATCTTATAACTATAAGAGTGGTGATCACTAGCAGAGGGATAGAATCAGCCAAGGCCATGGTGGCTCTTATTTTGCGTGCCTCGTAGTTGTTTGGATCCATTGCTAAACGCAGTTGCATTGTCCGATAAGCTCTCTGACTTGTCCTGTACTTCGTCTAGTCTCTCCCCTCTTTTGGTTACCTTTGTGATATTTTCTTGCATGACATCAGTGACTTCATCCACCTGATTCTGAACATGCCTGATTTTATAATTTCTAGGTCCAAATCTTGGTCCAGATGGTCCCCTTAGAAAAAAGTCCTCTTCTTCATCTGAATCATCTTCCAGAAGATTTCTCCTTTCACTTTACACAGAACAGTGACATCATCATCATTTAGGTGGCGCCTACCCTGGGGAGGCATACTTTTTACTCCTGGAGTACTTCCTTGTTTTTCAGTGGAGTACTCACCACCTCCTCCGTATCCACTTCACAAAAGGCTTGCCTCTGGGCACAGACTTTCCTTTTCCCAGCCACTATTCTCCTTCCTGCTCCTCTTGTTCATTTCTCATCAGCCGTTTCACAGAATAAAGAGACTCTGAGGGACCCAGACTGGAGACAACACTCACAGAACCTGTAGGTATAATGCTTCACCCCCCTCTCTGGGCATCGGGAGCACAGCAGGGTTGGCGCTCTTTCTCTGAAGCCCTGAGGCTCCAGGGAGCTCCCAGCAGCTCTCTTGGGCAACGTGGCTGGGAGGAGAAGCAGGGACTGTGGAAGACAGGAGGAGATGGGGAGATTGAGGGCACGCACCCAGCGATGGCCACTGCAGAGCTGACCCCCGCTCCTATTTTTCTAAGTGTTGCAGAGTGGAGCTTGCTTGCTCATGGAGTGTTTATTACATACCAACCACTCCTAACTCACTACTCTTTCAGCAATGAAGTGCAAGCACAATTATTATACCCACATTCCAAGTGAGGAAGCTAAGGCTTGATGTGGGTAAAAAGACTCTTTCATCCTTCACTTGTCCTGCCTCTTTCTTTTCCTGGCTGGCCTCCCCATTTGGACATACCAGTGACCTCTCAGTTTCACTTCCTTGGCCTCTCCTCAACCGGCCCTCTTCCCAGCCCTACCTTTTAAGGGTGAAGAATGAGAAGAATGAGTTACGAATGTGAGATGCCTAGGTATTGTGATAGTGCTCCACCTTAATTCACTCAAAAAGTCAAGATTCTTGCCTGTTATCCATCTAAGAACTCCAAGTCATGTCTGGGTTCCCAGGCCCTGGCCAGCTCCACGGCTGTCTTCAGCAGCATATTCATGAGCCAAGTGAAGGGGCTGGAGCAAATGCCACACCTAGGCCGGTTTACTTCTGCCACTGAGAGAAATTATTAGATTTAGCATTATGCAGTGTGTTAAATTTAACTTCCCCTCTGCCATTTAGGAATAGGAAAAGTCCTGTAATACTGTAATTAAGTCAGGTCCAGAAAGAAATATGCATTTTCAAGAGGAAAAGCAGAAATAGCAAGCTTATGGAATGTCTCCTATTCTCCCAAAATAGCCCTTCTCGCTCTAATTTGGGTTGAAGTGTCCTGTATGATACAATAGCTCTCGTTTCTAACTGTTGCTTTGTCTTTCTGTCTTATACACTTAGGAACTTGATAAAGAACTCCCAGTGCTTCGACCATATTTCCTCGATGACCCTGGAGAAGCTGGCGTGCGGGAGGCAGGCTTACGAGTCACCTGGCTGGGGCACGCGACGCTGCTGATCGAGATGGACGAGCTCATCTTCCTCACGGATCCCATCTTCAGCTCCCGTGCTTCTCCATCCCAGTACCTGGGTCCAAAGCGCTTTCGGCCCCCACCCTGCACGGTAGCTGAGCTCCCCCCAGTCCATGCTGTCCTCATCAGTCACAACCACTACGACCACCTGGACTACGGCTCTGTCACTGCTCTGAATGAGCGGTTCGGGAGTGAACTGAGGTGGTTTGTGCCTTTGGGTCTCCTCGACTGGATGCAAAAATGTGGCTGCGAGAATGTCATTGAGCTGGACTGGTGGGAGGAGAACTGTGTCCCCGGCCACGATCAGGTCACCTTTGTCTTTACGCCATCCCAGCATTGGTGTAAAAGGACTCTGATGGATGACAACAAGGTTCTGTGGGGCAGCTGGTCTGTCTTGGGGCCATGGAATCGATTTTTTTTTGCAGGAGATACTGGTTATTGCTCTGCATTTGAAGAGATAGGAAAAAGGTTTGGCCCTTTTGACCTTGCAGCTATTCCCATTGGAGCTTACGAACCAAGGTTTGTAAACTTGTAGAAAAAAGTACTCCTGGGCCTGGGGCGATACCTCACTAGAATAAGTGCTTGCATGGAAAGTGCAAGGGCCTCAGTTCAATCCCCCGTTACATACACACACACACACACACACACACACACACACACACACACCCCAGACAAACAGACAAACAGAAAAACCCCAAAAGAAATAAGTACTCCTGCCCCAGTGAACTTCAGTGGTTATGATTTTGTGATTCTAGGTAATTTGTGATTTTAATGGTGGTCTTTGCTATACATTGATGAGGGTTAGTGTGTCAGATTCAATTAGATTTTAAATATTTTAAAATATTTTAATCATAGTCATATCTGTCAAGTAACTACTCAAAAATCAGCAGTGGTATTACCAGCAAAGAAGACTCCAGGTATAAGGAATGCCCATACCTCCCCGTAGCTTTCCGTACCACTTTGAAGTTAAACTGTCAGCCAGTGTGGAACATGACACTTGCTTCCTTTAATGGAGAGAATTCTTTCTTTCTTTTTTTAAAAAAAATATATTTAGTACAGGGTCTCACTACACAGCTTGGACTCACAGTGATCCTACTGTTTTGCAGCCTCCGAAGTGCTGGGATTACAGGTGCATGCCACCATGTCCAGTCTCAGTCCGTCTCAGCATGCCCCAGGGGCAGGGCTGGCATGTTATGGCAAGCTGGGGATCGGGGATTGAACCCCGGTCCCTGTGCCTGCTCAGGTGTTTTATTCTGTTATTTGGCTGGCCCTCGACGATTCTGTCCTTATGTAACTACTTTCTACACTGTGATCAGACCATTCCCTGTCCAGTGCTTTTGCTGGGTCTATCACATGGAGAAAGCAAGGCATTGGCCCATGCCAGTGGTGCCCTGGGTGGTCTTCTGTCTGCACCGAGGCTGGCCTGGTGCTGAGCTGCTGCCTTGCCACCACCTAAGCCCCTGAGCATGCAGCGCTTAGGCCCCATCAGTAGCTAGGCCCAGTCAGTGTCTGTTTTTAAAGAATTAGATTTCAGTCCGGTCTGGTTTTTATTTTTTGGGTGTGTGTGTACTCAAGACCTTGCACTGAGCTCCATCCCCACCACGTTTCTTTTTTTACTTCCAGACAGGATCTTGCTAAGTTGCCCAGGCTGGACTTGAACTTTCTAACTTCCTGCCACAGCCTCCCAGGTCGCTAGGATGACAGGCACACACCACCACACCTGCCTGCACTCTGAGTTATATGTATGACACAACAAATACTGGCAGTAGCAGACTAAGGGGGAATTAAAGTGTTTTGAATTTAAAAATACTTATTTTAGGTTTCAGTGCTTGCCCAGATACATGCAGGTATGTTCTTCTTTGCTGAAGAAGTCCTGCAGGCTGAACACTCCTGTTTCTCTCATGTAATACATAATGCATTGGATGAACCTGATCATCTGATTCACTGCTTTATACTAATTTGTTAATCTTCTAAATTCACTAAAATCATATATCTTTATCAACACTCATTTCTCCCTTTTATGTTTTTCCTAGTTTCCTGTTGGGGGGCTGGGTATTCTAACCTTTTTTTCTAGTTCCTGTCAATTATTACAATTACCATAAATCAATATTAGTCATTAAATTTTACTTTTCCTCTTAAGTAATTCTTCTAATGAAACCTCTGAAAACATTAATCTTTTATTAAAAAGACTGTTACAAATCAATTTTATATGATTCCAGTCATCATACAATATATGTTCTTAACATTAGGATGTCACAAAAATAAATCTGCAAGGTAGTGAGACAGACACTGGCAGCCTGCGATGCTAACTAAGCAAACTGCACACGGCCGTGCGCGTACCTCCTTTGCCTGCCTGCCTGCCTGCAGCTGTTTTGTTTGTAAGGCCGGAGAAGGAGGCTGGATCTTATTTGCTCTAAGTGGCTCAAATGTGATGGCTCCCAATATTCTCTGGTCAGTGCCAACACTTTGAGCTGTAGCAGATCCATTCCAGAAAGTGCAGATGTGCTCCCCAAAGATAAGAGGGTGTTGGTAGTTGAGGGGCAGAATTCTTGCCTCCCAAATGTAAGAGGTGAGCCTTGCCCTGAGAAGACTGCTTCGTTCTTACTTCTGGGCTTGCTTGTCACCGGTGATTCTGGCCAAGTCATTTAGGAGTTAATATTTTGATTTTAATTGTCACATTAGAGTAAAAAGCTTAAGGTTATTTTAGGTAAACATGAAAATAAAAAGGAGTGACTTGCCCTTTGATTTGCAGTAGGAATTTTCAAAAAGAGCCTAGCTGTTTTTGTTTTGCCCTGCTTTCTGAGTCCCAGGTGATAGGGCAGAGCCGTGCTTGTCTACGCCTTGGCTGGGAGAACACAGTAGCTTTGTTTGGGGCTCCTGCAGGCCCCGGCAGCTGTTGCCCGGGAGCATGCCCATCCCTGCTGTGGGAGGCTGTGCTGCCGCGCTGCTGGGACTGCACCAGTGCCCTCTGAGCCAGCCCCTTCAGTCTCACTGGGGTGTTGGTCAGCAGTGGCAGCCCAGGGTGTGAAGGACTGGAAGACCGGGTTGCTTTTCCTCTGAAGGGATGGCTTAGAGAGCAGATTTGCTTGCGGATAGTACACTGTCCTCTTGGCCTCTGAAATAATGATTCTTGCTGGATAGCGTCAGTTTTGCCTGGCTACTTTTCTGGGAGAGGTCTGTGAAGTAGGCGCCATACTCTGTGCTTTCGTAAGCTCTGTCCCGTTTAATCCCCACAGCACCCTTGCTAGGTGGGGCTGCATTATACCTGCAGACAAGTAGGTGGAAGGCTGGGAACCGGATTGGGGGGGCTGCTCACCCCTTGTGCTTCCTGCGGCCCTGGGCAGCCTTCCAGAGCCTCCTGTGTCCTGTCTTCCTCCCAGATCACCACAGATGGGACAGATAAACTCTTGGGGGCCTTAACCTGTTCTAAAAGGATGATTTGTGTTTTCTTTTGAGACAGATGGAGATTTAAAGTAGTTTTTCTAAAATCAATTCTTCATTTGGGCCCATAAATACCCATTATTTTACAAAACTCAGATTCTCAGTTCTAACTATAAACCTTTAGGAAATGTCTAAAATTTGACAAACAAGGGTTACTAATCCAAATTTACATAGACTGTTTTATCACTTTTTAAAAAATTGTTATATGGCCTCGCCATGCAGTTCAGTCTCATAGTGATCCTCCTGTCTCAGTCCACCTAGTGCTGGGATTACAGGTGTGTGCCACCACGCCTGATTTTGGTGGCCAGCTTGGCATGCCCGGGGTTCTGGCTTTGGCCTTACATGCAGTATCAGGGCTCAAACCTGGGTCCTTGCATTTGCCAGGCAGGCGCTTAGACCATCGAGCTCTCTCCCCAGCCTGTTTTATCATCCTTTAAGATGGAGGAGGGGAGGGGAGGTAGAGCACTGGCATAAGTGCCTGCGTAGCAAAAAAAAAAAAAAAAAAAAAAAAAGAAGAAGAAGAAGAAGAAGAAAAAGAAGAAGAAGAAGAAAAAAAAAAAAAAAAGATGGAGGACACTGGGAGGAGGTTTACTGACAGTCACCTGTGCCTGTGTTTGGAAATTCCCATTCCAGTAGAACCTCACAGAACTAAACTGCCCCAAACTAGATGGTTATCTCTCCTAACTGAATTCCCTCAGGTCGTGAGGATTCCTCCAGTGCTGCAATGCTGGGGTTGAGATTATGACCAGCCAGGGCTCAGCCCACCACATCCCCATGAAACTGGTCCCTCTTCTGCATTAATGGGCCCCCTCTTTAGATCTGCTTCCTTTAGTTTGTTTATGGGTGGGATTCAAGCATTGTCAGAGTGTATCATCCCTTCATTTTCTTTCACTTGCCCATAAGACTTTCCTGTAAGTTCAGTGAAAGTCTCAGCTTTAATTTTCGTTATCCTGGAAGCAAGGACCCAGGGCGGCAGGTGGTACCATCAGTCCTCTTCTTGCCAAACCAAACGCTTCATGGTTCAGCTGCTTTTTAAATCAGTTCATTGAAGAGTCAATGGGTTTTTTTTGCTCCAAGTCTTTAAACTTTTATACATTAACTTTTGTTTGCTTTAGTGAGTTTTTTAAAAATGGTTTTGTATAACATCTAGGTTCTTTTGGAATGAGATTTCCAGTTCTTATTCAGTGTTTAGCTTCTTTAATTCATACTCAGGATTACAAACTCTGTTTTTAAAAATAAGTTGTAGCTTCAAATAAGTCTTAGCACTAAAATCAAAATATACATGAAACAAGATTTTACTTCTCAGAGTTTCATTTGAAGTTTATTTTATAGTGATTTATGTAAGAAACATTTCTCCCCCGGTGGAAAGGTGAACTATATGGTTTTGTCTACTGTGATTTACTTCTGCTCACGATCTTTTTATTTTCTGCAATCAAGCCTTGGTTGGACTTCTGACTTGGTTTCTGACTCATCTCCAAAATGTTGCTTATGTTCTATTTCTGGTAGTTTCTCCTGGGAAGCTTTTACAAATGCTGATACCCTGTCCCAGCCTAGTAAAATTAAGTTATTGTCACTGAGGGACTAGGCCGGACAGCATGTCTATCACAAGTTCTCTAGATGAGCCAGTGGCTGGAGAGTGGTTGAAATCACCATGAGTGCTTGTTGCTGTTGCCTTTGGCCAGTCAGCCTGGCTCTTGTGTTGGCTCAAAATCCAGTGAAGGAATAGGTAGGGGAGAGAAATTGCCACACTGAGCTTCTCATTTCTCAGAAACCCATAGTCCTGTGCAGACTCTCAAAGGTAAATGAAGTGGTAATGTATTCAAGGGCCAAAATTAATAAATTGCTGTTTCATCAGGTGGTTCATGAAATACCAGCATGTGGACCCAGAAGAAGCTGTAAGGATTCACATTGATGTTCAAGCAAAGAAATCTGTGGCAATTCACTGGGGAACTTTTGCCTTAGCATATGAGGTGAGTTCTTTTGTGCTAAGAAGAGCTATGGCAGTGTTTGAGCAGTGGTGGGATCCGGGCATCTCCATCCATCTCCTAGCAGGGTTCTCAGGCCAGATTTGACTCAGACCCTGTGCAGTCACACATGAAGAATGGGGTAAATCATACAGATCACTAAGAAAGTACTTATATTCGGTGAAGAAAGCCCCTTAGCCTGCTGGTTCATTAGCTTATTTCTGTAGTTAATGAAGCATGTGTTCATGTCACCAAAAATCTGTATGTGTAGCCTAGGGAGTTGAAAAATGGGCCACCATGTTGTCCCTTCTAGGTAGCTTTTGTGCTAGTGAGAGCTGAAGACATGAATGGATCAATGTTGGAAGAACATGTGTTGTCCAGTGAGGCAGACTCACTGTGGGAGCGATTTGGATAGTTTTGTGGGAGAAAGACATTTGAACTTGGCCCTGAGGATGCATTTCCAGTGGAGGAAAGGACAGGATGTAGGCTCAGAGGAAGGGAGGGCTGAGGAGTCTGCTCAGCACCAGAGGTACAGGGAAGGAACAGGTGGCCGGGAGCTTTCTGGAAATTTACTCACCTACTGAACCTTGATTCCAGGTCTGCTGTTTACTAGGCATTGGGGTAAATAGACCAAATCAAATTCAGTGGATAGGTTTGGTGTTGACCATGTGAGAAAATTTGGTTTGATTCACAACCAATTTGTTTTACAACCAGAATTGTGGAAAGAACTTTGTAAACTGAGGTACACTGTATCAGTGTTGTAGAGAAATCAAAGTATTTTATTAAACCTAAATAAAAAAAAGGGGCTGGGGAGATAGCCCAGTGGAATAAGCGCTTGCCTGGTAAGTGCAAGGGCCTGAGTTCAATCCCTGGTTCCAAAAGAAAAAAAAAAACTAAACAAAAAAGATTAAGAACTTTTAGCTGGAAGTGATTGGGTAGACGGTGGTGTGCTCTTTACTGAGATGGAAGACAAGTGGATCAAAAGCTCAGTCTGTAAGAGTGACTGATGTTTATTCACCCTTCAGTGATTATTCCTGTGCTCACTTTGGCAGTGCAGACAGTGATTATTCCTGTTAGAACTCTGACCTCCATCTGTACTTCTGAGGTTGGTAATATGAATTCATTTAGCCTTTAGCAGTTTGGATGTTGTTCACATTTTGATGTTAGTTGAATAGACTAGAAAACTATGGATCTGTTAAATTATAATGTGAGTTGGATTTTCAGAGATGTTTAGCTTATGAGTTCTAAATTTTCTTTACTTTTTTTTCTTTTCTTTATTATTTTTTCCATTTTATTGAGAAACAAATAGCAATGAGACAGTTTCAAATCAAATTGGAAGGACACTTTCAATAATTAGCACATTGCATACTCTTCCTAGTGGTTATTTGCTGTACAAGATGCAGACATGATATCCTATTTACAAACACTATTACAACAAATCCCTTTATTCATTAAGAGAATGTAACTATCTATCCTAACCATTTTGAATACACAGATACAAAATGGACATTCATCTGTGT